GAGATTAGAAGTCACACACACACACACACACACACACACACACACACACACACACACACACACACACACAATACACACACACATATTTTTTTCCCTATAGAACTGCGATAATTATCTCCTTTGACCCAGTGTTCCTTAAAGTATGATCCAGGAGTGGGAGCTGAGGACTCAGAAATGCAAATTCTTGGGCCCCACTCCTGATCTACAGAATGGAAATTCTAGGGGTGGGGCCCAGTAACCTGTGTTCTAACAAGCTGTCCAAGAGGTTCTGAGGGGGATAGTTTGAGAACCACTGCTCTGAGCTGTGTGCATCCGGTCCCATTGTAAACTGACTGATATTTGGCATACCGCATTGAAGGATAGGAGGCTGCAGCTCTGAGTCTTATAACCAGCTAGATCTGCAACAAACTGTTATATCCATTTTTAAATCCTTGAGCCTGTAAGTATATCCTTCATATAATTATAATAGTCTCTAATTTTGTGTTAGCCTTTGTTACCTCCTCTAAGTCTACTTAGAGTTTAAAAACATTTTAGAACAAAAAAGCTATCTTGGTCCAACATATCATGAACCTTGAATTGAGGTGACTAATAAATATTAATAATTTAAAATTCAGTGAATTTATTATTTATTAAAAAAATGGTTAATGTTTTTAACCCCCTACTCAAGGTATTTGGCCATCTACTCCTCCATTCCCACCCCTGAAATCTCAGTAACTTCAAAAGGAAATTCACGTGTACATAAAATCTATCCTTCAATGAGATTCACCCCTTCCAATCAGGAAGGAATATTTTGATAAGTAATAAAAATGATCCAAAATATATATTTGAAATTTCTCTTTTAATATTTATTCTAGAAAGCCAAATATAGAATTCATTAATTAAATATATTATAATTTATATATAGCAACTATATTTGTATATGTAATTATATGACATATATAATAAAAAGTATATATATTTTATGTCAGATGTCTGGATTTTAGAGGCATTAAGATTTTAATCCAATATGTATCCTTTGATTACCTTCATAGGCTTGGAATTTAAAAACTCTAGGGATTTCTGGTGGAAAATATGGACTCCAGTGCCAATGTGATACATTTATATTTAAATGATTATACGTGTATGTGTGTAATTACATATTATACAACATCTATTATTTTAGGACATCAATACTAATCTAAAAATCCTCTGGAATGTTTTATATGCATCCTAAATGAACTTTGCCAATAAAATTTCACAAAGAGAGAAGCGCAATGTTACCTTTTAAAAATAAAACCTTACAGATTTCCAAAATTACTTTTTCTTATGTAGGAATAACACAGAATTCACCTTTTACCCTCTTGAATGTGGGCAGTCCGAGAAAACAATATTCACATACTCTATGCAGCTTGTTTTAAATTTGCTTATATAAGCAAAACTGTGGGCTTTCCATGGAAATATAAGACTTGCAAATCACACGACTGATAAAATGGCATATAGCTTGCACAGCATTTGTAGAGTGACAGCTTCTGAGCGACAGATTTAATGAGATTAGTGGACTTCTGCCCATCACAGCCTCCAGCTATTCGATTTATTTTCTTTAGATTTTATTTTGGCACCATTTACTGAAAATGCTATTTGCAATTATATGAAGATTGACTAACAAATTTCTACTATGTTCCTGAAAAGATATAGGAAGAATAAATTGAATATAAAGATTCCTCCCCAAATAACATATATATTACATATAATATATATGAGATGAAGTAATATTAAACAAATGTCACATAAAAACACACATACCTTTAATTTTGATTTCTTAAACT